ACTCACACACTGAAGCGACACCTCCGATCTTTATCGTTTCATTCAACTATTATTTCACCGGCGCGGGCGTTAGGAATGTACGCGTGTTATGATGCAAAATGGTTTTAAGCAATGACTCAATATTTAAATTACAAAAAACCAACAATATATTTAATGAAGTTTCACTATGGTTTACAAGATAACAATTAATCCGTCGTTAGCTCTCGGGAGCGTTATACAATAGTTACATTCGGATGCGACAATGCGAAAGATTACATCCGTTCTCACAGTGATCTATAAACGGACTGACTTTCCTTCGAGACAGTCACGATAACGCTCGCTGCGAAGAGTCGCGATCTGCGTATGCGCGGATCGAACAATAGATCACGAATCGACTCATGAGCCTCGAAAATGTGAAGGCCATACCGGTGTTTAGATTTTGAATTTATGAATTTGGCATACAAGCCGTAACATGCCGCCCGCCTCGTATCCGGAACGGTACGATGTACAATTAATTAGCTTGATCTACCGGGAGTCGGCAGATTTGCGAGATAGGTCTCACGAATGCGGAGTCTTTAGTTTTCAAATGAACAATGCGAACGTGCCCATCGTCACCGGGTTGAGTAGATGTAATGCGCGCGAGAGCCCATTTGGATGGCGGTAATAAGTTGCTACGCAGAAGCACGAGATCCCCAGGTTTAATATCCGGGAGCGAGCGCATCCACTTGGAACGTTGCTGCAAGGTGTGCAGATAGTCTCGAGACCAAGCACTCCAAAAATGCTCGAGCATCGCGCGAACTCGTTGATAGCAGGAAAGGCGGTTTTCGTTTAAATTCAGCACCGATTCCTCGGGGACGGTGAGAAGTGGGGCACCGATGAGGAAGTGCCCTGGAGTTAACGTCGCAAAATCCTCGGGATCGCTTGTCGTGGCAGATATCGGTCGAGAGTTCAGGCAGGCTTCAACTTGGCAGAGGAGGGTGACGAATTCTTCGGTTGATAAGGTGTGCTTGCCCACGATACGTCGTAAATGATGCTTCATACTTTTCACCCCAGCCTCCCAAATACCGCCGAAATGGGGCGCAGCGGGCGGAATAAAGTGCCACGAAGTTTCATCGGTAGCCAGAAGCGAGCCAAAGTCTGGATTTTCGATAATATTCCGGAATGTAGTTTGCAGTTCCCTGTCCGCTCCTTGAAAATTAGTCCCGTTGTCGCTATATACATCGCTGGGGATTCCACGACGCGAGACAAAGCGCTTGAATGCTGCGAGAAAGGCTTCGGTGGATAAATCGGAGACTAGCTCCAAGTGTATAGCGCGTGTGGAGAGGCAAACGAATATAGACACGTAAGCCTTGTGTGAAGTGTGTCCCCTACCTCTTTTCAATAGAACAGCAAATGGTCCTGCATAGTCCACGCCCGTATGCAAGAACGGGCGAGATGGCGAGACACGCGAAGCAGGCAGACTTCCCATAAGCTGCGTCGGAGTTAACGCTCGTTGGCGAGCGCACGGGACACAGCGGTGTATAGCTGACTTGACGAGGTTCCTTGCTCCTAAAATCCAATAATTCTGCCGGATGTACCGAAGGGTCAGTTGCGGGCCTCCATGTAGCGTCTGTTTATGAGCGAAGTCTACGATCAACTCGCTAATCCGATGGCGAGGCAAGATGATCGGATGTCGCTCTGAAAATGCGAGGGGTGAGTTTTTAAGCCGCCCGCCAAGCCGGATCATATCATTATCGTCAAGGAATGGAGTCAATCTCATTAAGGGGCTCCGAGGTGCTATGGGCTGCCTTTGTTGAGGCCTTATGTTCTAAGGCGAAAAGGCTGAGCTGAGCCTTTCTGCACCAGAAGGTTCGGGCGTCTGCCACTTCAGCGGCGGTAAGGCGAGAATCGGTTCGTCCGGTGCCGGACCGCTTCGATCGAGGACGCGCTATGAAGCGAAAGGCATACGCTGTCACTCTAAGAAGGCGTGTCCACGACGACAGTCGATGTGGAAGGTCCTCGAGAGCAAGCGGTTTCGGCATGTCACTAATAAGTGTAACCGCAGCCTTGCGGACTTCGGAGTAGGCGCCATGGGCATCTTCTTCAGTGTCCTTGGTATTCCGAGTGGGCCAGGAGGCCGAATCCAGTTCCAATCAAGCCGGTCCGGACCACCAGAGTCTGCAAGACGATAACTCCGCGGGAGCGATGCCACGCGAGGCAATATCCGCAGGATTCGAGCTAGACGGAACATGATGCCAAGTGGCTGAAGGTAATTCGCTTTGAATTGTCGATACTCGATTTGCTACAAACGTAACCCACGTGGAGGGATGTTTTTTAAGCCACTCGAGCACGATTGTCGAATCTGTCCAGCAGTGGGTTGGAATGTTAGCGGATTGCATAGCGTCAGCAACGTATCGCAGCAATTTGACCAGTAACACGGCACCGTTTAACTCTAATCGCGGTATAGACAGAGGTTTTATAGGCGCCACCTTAGACTTGGCTGCGATGAGCGTAACCTTGACTTCCTTCGGATAGGTAATTCGCATGTACACCACGGCACTTATGGCCTTGAGTGATGCGTCGGAAAAGCCGTGGAGTTCGATATGGCTCACTTGCTTCGATAATCCGGTCCAGCGGGGAATCCGAATCTTGGCAAGAGACTGGAGAGAGTCACGATAGGCTTCCCACCGTTCGCTGAGATCTGCGGGAAGTTGATCATCCCAGTCGCACGACCTGATCCACAATTCCTGCATTAGGATTTTAGCAATAATGACTACCGGGGTAGCCCACCCAAGGGGGTCAAAAATCCTGGCGGTCGTGGATAGAATTGAGCGTTTAGTCGCTGCCGACCGGGGCGGCAACGAGATATGGAAGGAGAAAGCGTCGTCTCGAGGCGACCATGCAATGCCGAGAACCTTGATATTGTTATCCTCTTCCAATGAATAATCCATCTTAACAGCTCGATCTTTAGAAGGTACATCCTCCAGCAATTCGACGGCGTTGGACGCCCACTTGCGAAGACTGAATCCGCCCGCCGCGAGCATGTTGACTAGTTGTAGTCTCATGGCATTGGCTGTGTCAATCTCACCAGCACCAAATAAGATGTCATCGACATAGGTTTCGTTCTGCAAGATGGAACGAGCGAGAGGAAATCGATGACCTTCATCCTCGACGAGCTGATGTAGTACCCGTATCGCGAGGTATGGCGCGGGAGCGGTACCATACGTAACGGTGCGTAGACGATACGACTGGATTGGACCCTGCGGAGAAGGTCGCCACAAGATCCGCTGATACTCAGAGTCTTCTGGATGCACCCGTATCTGCCGAAACATTTTCTCAATGTCGGCAAGATACGCATATTTATGCTGTCGCCACCTAATTAATATAGACGGCAGGTCAGTTTGGAGCTTGGGTCCAATGCGTAGGTGATCGTTGAGAGTCGTCCCGTTTGAGGAAGCGCACGACGCGTTAAATACGACCCTCAATTTTGTAGTTAAGCTTTCGCTCTTCACCACGGGGTGGTGCGGAAGATAGACGACTCCAGCGCGAGGCACTTCTGGGCCGGTGACCAGCTCCATGTGTCCTAAGTCCAGGTATTCCTGAAGGAAAGCGCCGTATGATTCGGCGAGTGTAACATCGCGTGATAGTCGTCTCTCGAGTTTATCGTACAGGCGAGTCGCGATGTAACGAGATTCTCCAATGGGCGGAGGTGATTGTGTAAATGGGAGGCGAATGACGTATCGTCCGCTCTCCTCTCTCGCGTGCGTAGCACGGAAATGCCTTTCGCATATCTCCTCGTCCGCTGTGAGGCTTGGAGTCGTGGGGACCTCCTCGGTCTCCCAGAATCGCACGAGGATTTGGTTGAGGTCTGTGTCCACCGTATTGGCTGAGGCAACGCAAACCGATGCATTGGAATCGTCATCGTCCGTAGGGCCAGACACAATCCATCCAAAGATCGTGGGACTACCGAACGGACCCTGCCGAAGGCCATCTCGTAATAAGGCGCCGTATAAATCCGCTCCAATCAATAATTGTATCGGAGTTCGATCCGCGGGATCAGGATCGGCGAGGTCGAGCTCTTGTAGATGAGGCCAATCAGAGGCGGGTCTGCGCTTGGACGTACAGTACGAAGTTATGCGATTAAACACATACGCTTTGACCGGCAGTGATATGCCGGGCGTCTTGCACGGTTCGAGTGAAAGTCGCATCATCGCCCTTGCCGTGCCGGAGTATTGGTCGCCAAAACACGATACGGGCAATGTCGTACGTTGGCGAGACGTGTGCAACGATTGAGCCAACGTCTCCGTAATGAACGAATGAGTAGCTCCTTGATCCAGAAGCGCGCGTACCCGTACTACTCGATTTTCGCGAGTGCGCAAATTTACCCACGCGGTAGCGAGTATCACGGTGGGATCCTTGGGTAACCACGTTGACGCAGTATGTACGGTCGAACTTGCGTCCTGT